GGAGCAAGGAAGCTATTTGAAACAAGAATTAGATAGAAACAATAAGCTACTAGTACCAAGTGCATCGCTAACTAGTAACAAGTGCATTACTACTAGTAGCAAGAAGCTCGCTATTAGGCATTTGGTTTTTTCCTTTGTTTCTGTTTGTTGGCCAGCGGCTCAAGAAATCAGAGAATCGACGGATGGATGGGTTGGTTCTTCCTTGTCCGCCGCCTGAACTTCCACGTTTGCTTTGCACGTCACCTTGCGAGGATTATGTTATGTTCTTCTTGGCAACTACAAATATACAGTAATGTAATTCAATAATGACCTTCGAGGCATTATGAATTCCGCCGAATCTGCCAAGAATATGAGGTCCAACACGGTACACAGAATAGGTTCCGCTTTCAAAACAATCATACGGGCTACTTTCCTCATTTTTCCTCCTTCTAGACGGTCATCGAAGTCTTCAAATTTGACATGTTGGAGAAATGTCCAACTCCTCATGCAACTCTGCTTGCCCTCTTCCCTGGTGCACCAAATCTAGATATACTCAAATCTCAAAAGAAAACAACTAAGGACTAAGGTTAATCACAACCGCCAGTATTTGCAATATCATCTGACACCACGTTACCATCATTTTTGCGGTCATGAAGTTCGTTCACATGATTTGTTCCAATCGCCAAACAGTGCGTACACAGTATAACACACCATTTTGTTAATATTCTTTTTATTTCCGTTTTGTTTGAGGCAACAAGGCCGGAAACGTTCAAACATCCGTGTTTGACAGCCATGATGGGGCATTTTCTGGCAGGGCTGGCAGGGCTCGAGGATGTTGATAGGATGGTGGTTTGGCCAGAGGGTTTGGGATTGTTACACAGAATGCAGTTTTCCAGTAGGGTGCCTTGTACAAGGACATTCGCAATCAACAAGCGGTTGCCAAGAGTGAGTTTCTGGACTGGTGATCCCTTCATCCTCTATACAACACTCCTTTGAAGGACACACTGTCGTTCACCTCCACACAAAACGATCTTAAAAAAGGAAGATCGAGCTGTTTGTGCGGATTGATTCCATGAACATCTGGCCGGAGTAATATCGTCCTTCAATGGCGCCATCTGAAAGGAGGCCAATCCAAGGGATTGCGCCACTCCGGTTTGACATATAGATGAGAACCTCGCATTAACGGACACGTGTTTTCTTGAGCATTGGCTTCAGTTTGACCATCATCTCCACCCTCTCTCTCTCTCTCTGCACATATACACACATAGAGCTACTGAAAAGAGTCACAGGTTGGAGGCCATCGCTTCTAGGTTGGAGGCCTAACTCAAAAGAAAATCATAGTGTTTCTCAACATTTGTGTCTTTATTCCCAAGGTCAATCCGTCGACTTAGCAGTCCGCCAGCGGTGAGCGGGGGTGCTGGCCCGACGGTCCAGGCCGGACGGGGCATGGCCGGGCTGGGCGCCAAGCACAGTGGCTTCCAGTCCTGAAAAGGTCACCAAGGATCACCATTGAGAGGCCATCGCTTATTAAGATACATTAAGAGATATAATCGAATGAGCTGGTGGACCCAGAAGGTTGTGGCATAAGCTGGAGGTTTGTCACTCCTGGCTCCTGGTTTTGGCACGGTTTTCCAGCATGTGTTTTGGTCCTGCAATCTTTGGGATTCGAAAGACATGCAAAGAGCCATCCGGGCAGCGAAATGCCAGGCAGTCCAGCGAGATGAAGGGCAGAGCGACTGCAAATCATTGGTTGCCTGCCTCTGACTCTAGGCCATTCCCTTTTGAAGGCAGCACCCAGAAAGGTAAATCATGTAGATGGGTCGTGTGCCCATAAATGAGGACTCGGATGTTGCTTTTGTTTCAATACATAGAACTCACAAATGTGGCAGGTATTTGAATGGTCTCTTTCAGTCTCGAACTCCGGGATTTGATCGAACAGGAGAACATTCAGTTGATGTGTCCACTTCCTGCCCTTCACTAATCCCTTTCGCTGAACACCGTAGAAGCCCGTACAACGCCCCAGCAGGTACTCCTGTGATCATTGGATGATGGATTATTCTTGGTGCAAAGAAGATTCGTTGGAAGATAGTGTGACCGCCCAGGTGTCAGACTTGTTGGCAATAAACAACAAAGTGTTTTCGTGACACAAATCATTTTCATGCCATTTCCAAGATCTTCAAGTTGTGGATTGCTGAGGTCTGTTTGGATGGATCTTCACAGTCCAGGGACCTCCAGAAAACAGGTCATAGTGTTTATCATTGCAAATACTTGGTGGGCATGTTACGGACCTTTGGTGCTTCTGCTAGATTAGACAGATTCGTTTAGTAGAGGCTTTCCGACTATCAGGTTGGAGGCCATCGCTATTAGGTTGGAGGAGACTAGAGTCAACAGTGGAAGTCTTTGACTTCTCAGAGGCAGACAGCCAATTTCGAAAGTCGAGAGGAAGCCCTGAGGTATCAAGCCTCAGGGACGAGCGCGATGGACGTGGTACGGAAATCACTATCTGAAGGTCTGGAAGATCATGTTTCAATGAAGCACTTCAGAGGGGATCAACATACTCTCGGGCGGAATGCAAGACAAGCCCAATGTACCTGGATCTCTTCAGTCACAACAACCAGAGGCTCTCCATGAAGCAAGTAACGTGGAAGAGGACAGTTTGCACAGAAGTTCTTATGAACCACCAACCAAGCCCGCCACACCAATGTCTACCCGGTCTACCGAGAGAGACATCTACGACCTATGGCGGATGGCGGATGACCGACCTCGTCGATGGCGTTCAGTGAAGTTTGGAGACCTCTTCGAAGTGCAAAAAGTGAGACCACTTCGTCGGTGCAGTCGCAGCGGGGGGGGGGTGTTGACACAGGTATGGTGTCTTTCTGCCAATCTATACAACTCTCTTTTGGTCTTTCAACATGAATAGTAAAGAATCTCCCTGACTTGCTCAACAAAAAAGTGCGTCGGTGAGTGGTGGTCGGTTGCAGTGCGAGTCTTTTTGCAGCAGATGGGGTGGACCGTGGCACTTTTAACACCTTCTGGCAAAGATGGCAGTATCCGGCGGACTCCAGGAAAGAACATAAGTTTCAGCTCTTGAGTCGATGACTCCAGGGGCCAATCCTCCAAAGTTGGCTCCAGAGATTCGTAGATTCCGGCGATCCAAAGATGTGGAGCATCAGAGTTTGTGTGGTGTGGAAACCCAGAGAGGGGAATTAGGAGGCCGGGACAGGGAAAATTGTGATGATTGGGGAATAATGCATTGGTTCTTTTTAGTTCCCTTCGCAGCTGGATCTGATTTTCATTTGTGCTCGTCATTGTCGAGAAGCCTACAGCTTTTTGTGGCAAAAACTCGTCATTGTGAATGACGCTTGCGTCATAACATACGGCCTGCATCAGGATTCAATACTACCTGCCTGCTTGCAAAACCACGGTCGTTGCTCTGCACAAATTGATTAAGAATAGCTCACCAGTAGTGCCTATTAAAAGGGTGAGACACAATCCACTACTTGCCACCCATCATGTGCCTAGTGCCCGTGTTCCTGAACCACCAACAGCCAGCAAGGCTTTCCAAAGTTATCCATATCATATGCTCATATCAGGAGCTACTAGTAGCTTCGTGCTACTGGTAGTAATGCCAGGAGCTACTAGTAGCGATTCTTGTTGCTAGTAGTAAAACAAGATTATCCATATGCTCATATTGCTTGACGAATCCCGCGGATTGAAACACCCAGCTAGGCCTAAAGGGGCATCAGGGGCATCGCTGTCGACTTTTAGGGCTCATCCTGATTTGCCAAGTTGATACCGAAGTGGATAGCACCAAGGCTCTAGTAGATAGTTGCCGTGTGCCTGTGAGGGAGTAATAGTCATATTACTGTATGTTTTGCTATGTTCAATACATAAAGATATTAGTTGTGGCCATCACACACATATAAATATATATATATACTGTAATATATATACTATATTATTGTATAGATCATAGATCGATAATATTGTACATATCGTTAGTTGGACTCCGGATCTCTGGGAGACCGCCACCGGCCCACCGTGCGCCATGCTTTCTTTCCAGGCCCTGCTACTGGTCCGGAGCGCGTCCGGACACGGATGGGTCACGGAGCCGCTCGGCGAGAGAAGATCGAGCACTGGTACGACTGATGACTAGTAGCCAAGCATTTGTTTGGTCTACTGCAGTGTATGTGTGTTCTTTTTATGTGTGACTAGCGTGACCTCAAATACCTGAGATGCGTTTTGTCTCTTCCTCAGCTGGATTTGTTTGGGACTTTGGGACAACCATTTCTAGCTATTTCAGGACTGAAGAACATGATTTCGGAACAGCAACAGCTTGGAACCTTCACTGTGAGGGATGTTAGGGCAACAGCTTGGGTTCTGGCTTTTGAGGGTTCATGGTCAACTTGTACATTCTCCAAAAGCCACAAAGCATCACCAAACGGGTCCTCTCATTTTGAGAATTTTGGTCAAACCATCATATAACACTTCTTCCTTGCTGCTGGAACTCACTTGTGACATCGGCTCGGGTGGCTTTATCTAAATTTCTGCCCATTTGGTGCTTTGACTGTTTGACTGTTTTCTTAATTCGGAGCCTCCTGGACCCATGTGGTTCTTCAACTCCGGACCGATGCAATCGAACGCTTGCCAGAGCTTTGACAGCTGAACGCAGACGGAACTTGCTACTCCCGGAAGCGGTGCTTTGGTACCTCGGGTTCAGCCACAGACCAGCTGATGCGAGAGCCCAGACCACCGAAGTGGCCGCAACATTCGCTATTTTATGATGTTCACCTGTCACTTCAGATTATCATCGTCCCATGTGCTTCTTAACATCAGCAACACATAATACTTTTTGCTGCTTGACTCACGTGAAGTCTGAAACGTGTTTGGCTTCCACAGGTTAAAGGCCATGTTGGATGACCGAAGGTGAGTGCACTTTGTTATCGACCAAGGCCTCCTGCACGGAACGCCGTGTCCGGGGAAAAGAACGGTGTCTTGGCACCTTCGTGGTTCCGAAACGTGGGTCCTTCAGGGGCGAAAGGATGCTACTAGGAACAGACTAGGACGCTACTAGGAGCAAAGGGCATCGCTACTAGTAACAAGGACGCTACCAGGGGCTCCTGGCCTTACTACTATAGGAACAATGTTTGCTAGTAGAAACAATAAATATATATAGATTAAATTCGATTTAAGTTTAATTAGAATTTACTTAGTTTCCCAAAGCTATGGAACTAGTTGCGTCCGATCGTTCCGTGCGTGATGCCAGGAGCCCCTAATAGACTAGCGTCCGATCGCTCCTAGTAGTAAGGCCAGGAGCCCCTAGTTGCGTTCAAAGAGGCCTTGTTTTTTCCTGAGACAGCATGTTTGCTTGGCAACCAGACAAACTGGCTCAGTGGTCAGTTTAACACGAGCCCTCACCCAGAAAGAGGCCATCGATGTTTTGCACAGGTGCAAGGATATTCTATGGGCAAAACGCCCAAAGGGATGGCCACAGCTTCCCAAATTCACTGCCGTCACCGACGCCGTCACCCCTTCGCTGCTGGTTTGTGGCGGAACCACGACGGAACCCGACAATTCTGCCACGGCGGAACCGGGCGAGGCAAGTACTGTGACACGTGCGACACGGTACCCGGAAGGGTTGTACCTCTTAATACATCGTAAATCGATCATGGGCAGAGCCCAGGAAAACACGACCTGTATTTTGATACCTAACACATTCCAAACAAGCACAGGCAGGATTGGATAAAATCAAGATGATGTAAAATGCGTGTTGGTCTCACTCACATCCCAAAAGATCCACTCATTTCAGAAGGCCATCCGCGGCCGTGGCCGAACTTCTCCTCACTAAGGCTATTGCCCCCACTGCGGTAATGGCAATGGAATCTGCGGAGATGGAGGGCAATGGCCGTCCGGAAGTCGCTGGAGCAGAATGGATGGGTGAAGAAGCCGGAGAGCAAAGGATCAGCTAAGCTCAGCATACCGTTGCTTACCTACCTGAATTTGTGGGACTGCAACAGTTGCTTACATTGAGATGCGTCTTTTAATGGATTCATGGATGGGGTACTATGGGGTAAATGTATGCAACTCTTTCATACATGGATGGTCGCTCCCGGGCGCTCCCGGGCATGGGGCGTGCTTGAGATTGCATGGCAATCTCAGGAAAGCAGGTCGTGGCATCTTGATGATGTTCATTTTAGCATTTTAGCATCTTTTGGTGCGCTTTGTAGGGGTTCCTCTTTGCACATCCTTTCACATCTTTTTGCTACTTTTCCAAGTGCTTGGTGCAAACCCAACCAGGGCCACCGAGGATGTGCTTTTGCCTGTTCCACAGGATGTAAAAGGCAGGGATGGGAGATGAACGAAGCCTTTCTAAACCCACACGGCAATTTTAAGAGACATGATAACCAATAGTGCTCCCAGATGACATGCGTGCATGAAGTGCGACATATTGGTTTTGGAATGCTTTGGTACAAGAAGAAGGTTTGTTCGGGATGAAATCGATGAATCGTTATGTCTGGGAGCTGACCTTTCCAAGAGTAGTGTGGGAAACCTACCAAGTTGGAACATGACGTCCTTCCACTGACCCGACGTGGATCCTATGATATCCTATGTTTTAATTGCTCACGGTACGGATGCACTTTGGCCTTAACATGTAAAGTTCAAGCCCTTGGGACAGGCCCTAATTGCTGTTCAATTACCTATGTATGCAAAACTGTCAGACTGATCGGCTGATGCCCAGGTAACTATGTGAACGCCGGTGGAACACCAGTCAGGAGAGTCTCTGGCCAACAGTTTGGCAGCAGGTACTAAGCCATCCAGTGCAACAAGGAAGGTTGATGTATTGTTGCTTTTGTGCTGGCAGCGTTGGGTGGGTGCTTCCAAGAAAGAATGAGTCTGAAGCAAGAGAGGCTGGACAGAGACAAACGACGCAGAAACTGCCACGAGACAGACGGGACTGGACAACGTCCGAAGAGGGACGTCCGAGTCTCGAACGGGTCTCCCGGGCTTCGTCCGAAGTCTCCCGAAGCGGCGAACGGTGTCGACGCGGAACCGCACCGAAGCGCACCGGACGGGGTGGACAGGGGATCGGGATGTTTAGTAGGGGCGTAGAACGCAATGTGTGCGTCCAACACCAAACAGCGCAATGGCGTCATCACACTTAAGGACACAGTTTGCAAGCATGCTCAGAGAACCAAGGAGTTTACACCTACATCTAGTATAGACCTTCCAATCTTTACTCACAGGCTTCCCTGGTTGCTTTCAAAGTTGCCCGTTTCAAGTGATCAGCTGGTGTTGCGTGTGAACGCGGTGTTCCACCGGCACAATAGTGGTTCAAGCCAGGACAGTTTCGTTTATAATTAGTTGGCGTTCTTTTTTGTTTTTCGGCAAACGATGGTGAAACGGATGTAGCCGGAAATAGGATATATATATATATAGGCGTCCATTCGTTTGATGCAGACATTCTTTGGTGGCCAAACAGAACACAACAGAACTCCGCAAAAATGATGTCAAGCTAGCTCTTATCTAGCTTGCATACATCTTGCATATCTGGCTTTGGATTCTTTGGGATTCATGTGATCCTCTCATCTTTTCCATTTTGAACACTGAATCCTTGGGAGACTCGCCATGACTTCGGATCTCGTCTCGGATCATGTCCGGAGATCCGGACCTCACAGCACCAGGACCTGGACGGCCGGGGCCATCCATGAGGCACCGATGGGTCTCGAGGACGCGTGTCCATGGAAAAAACACCTCACGAACCTTCCACTAAAGGCTAGTCCGGGGGGCGGTCTATAGAGAAGTAGTACATGTAGTGCATCACATTTACATTCCCAGTTTGGCCCCAATCACAGCCCTTCTGCTTCGGCGATGGCTATGCCACATTCGTCCGCCTTCGAAGGTGGTGATCAACATCACTGCCCACCACAAGGGCCACTTTGAATTCAGCATTTGCACCTCGGCAGCTAGGTTTTTGTCGGTCTTTGGTGTTTCTTCCAGTGATGCACACAAGAAATATTCAGAAATTGACAAGACTGACGGGGGTTCCCTCACCCTGTGATGGTGGGACATCAACTTCGATCATTCATTAGTGTATCCAATTACATAATCAATCATTGTTGTCTTTGTTGATCAGGATCATCCCAGATCAATCAACACCTATGCCGCGGCCCCAACAATCCAAACTACCATGCTGCGCTGAAAGAATGCTCTCGCAAGAGGTTGGTATTCACTTGAATTTGTCGGTGCAATAGCAACCAATCAATCGTCACCTCCCACACGCAAGCACCTCAAATCTTTCAGCCCTTTTCCCGAGGTGATGAAGAGATTACCTCCTCATTGAGCAATGCCCAAAGCTGTTTGGATCAGCACATCCTTCTTAGAGCCTCCTCGCAGGAGAGAGCGGCATCGACGTCATGGCTTCGTAGATCCCAGAATCAAAGCGGCTCATTGGCTCCTAAAAGGATCGCAAATCACCCGAATTGTTTTTATATTCAGATGAAAGTGTTGTGACTCCCAGGTGACGGACAAAATTGCGACTTGAACATCATACTTGGAGTTTGATTGTGTGCTGGCCGGCGCCAAGGTGAGCATGTTTTTCTTTTGGCGCCCAGATCGGATCACTAGTAGCTTCTTGTTACTACTATATAGTAGTAATGCCCTTGTTACTAGTAGCGATGCACTTGTTACTAGAAATGACTGTTTGACTTTCTCCACGTCCACGGCCAGGGTCATTTCGTTCAGCCAGGGGAATGTCAGGGTTTCCAATGCCTCTTCAACCCATCCCCCTTCCAACAGGAGTTGGGTCTGAACGACTGCCAACCCAACGACCGGCGTGCGGGCTGCCAACCACTGGATACTCGACACCCAGAGCGATTCTATTTGCCCCCCAGTGGCTTGGTGTGGGAAAAACAACTGGTTTTTGACGTCATCGATGGGTCTGAAAGAGAAGCTGTTCATGTTTGCCACTGGGATTTGCAGGGGATCATTGTCGGTCACAAGGCTGAGTATTGCAGATTGACTGGATGCGGGGCTTGCTCAAAGAATCACATGGCTCTTGGGACGACTATATGTACTGACTCAACATGCTGTTATCCACGTAGCAAGGACGCTACTAGGGGCTCCTGGCATCGCTACTAGGAACAAGAAGCTACTAGGCGCTCCTGGCCTTACTACTCCTGGCATCGCTACTAGGAGCCAGGTCGCTACTAGGGGCTCCTGGCATCGCTACTTGGAACAAGAAGCTACTGCTCCTGGCCTTACTACTAGGAGCAAGGACGCTCTACTAGTAGCTCCTGGCATCGCTACTAGGAGCAAGGACGCTACTAGGCGCTCCTGGCCTTACTACTCCTGGCATCGCTACTAGGAGCCAGGACGCTACTAGGGGCTCCTGGCATCGCTACTTGGAGCAAGAAGCTACTGCTCCTGGCCTTACTACTAGGAGCAAGGACGCTCTACTAGTAGCTCCTGGCATCGCTACTAGGAGCAAGGACGCTACTAGGGGCTCCTGGCATCGCTACTATTAACCTGGCATCGCTAATAGGAACAAGAAGCTACTAGGGGCTCCTGGCCTAGGAGCAAGGACGCTATTAGGGGCTCCTGGCATCCCTACTAGGAACAAGAAGCTACTAGGGGCTCCTGGCCATACTACTAGGAGCACGGACGCTACGAGTAGCTCCTGGCATCGCTACTAGGAGCAAGGACGTTACTAGGGGCTCCTGGCAACGCTACTAGGAACAAAAAGCTAGGAAGCTACTGCTCCTGGCCCTACTACTAGGAGCAAGGACGCTACTAGGGGCTTGGCATCACTACTATAGGAACAAGAAGCTACTAGGGGCTCCTGGCCCAGGAGCAAGGGCGCTACTAGGGGCTCCTGGCATCGCTAATAGGAACAAGAAGCTACTA